TTCACCATGTTGACCAGGCTGGTCTCGAACTCCTGACCTCAGGTGATCCTCCCGCCTCGGCCTCCCAGCACAGGCTCTTATAATGGCTGGCTAACAGGTTCCCTGACCCTGGTCTCTACCTCCTCTGATCAAGCCACTGGTTGACTGTCTCAACCTGCATCTCATTATGTCTGTTTTCAGAGTTCACCACGGCCAAATGGAACTGGCCCTGGTTCAGACAGATGTGGGTTCAAAATTCCTGGCTCTGGTTTTAATCTGCTGTGAGGCTTTAGACAAGTCACTTGGCCTTTTCCCTGTCTGGAAACTCTCTGCATTAAGGACAAATGATAAGGTATGCAAAGCACCTAGAACAGTGCCAGGCACAAACATCCACAGCATCCGCCGCAGGGTCCATGACGGCCCTGGAATTGTCGTCTAGTGTTTTCACTGACAGTTCTTCCCTGCTTACAGGTTCACGCTCCAATGCCTTAGGCGGGACACGGACTATTAGAAGGCACATTTATCTCCTTGTCCTCGCAGGTTCATGTGCAGGCAGCCCCGTGCAGCCTGGCTCCTTCTGGCCCACTCTGAGATCTGGCTGCCTGTTGATGAAGGGGGTCCCTTGGCTCTGCTCTCCCTGCCACGTGGAAAGTCCCGTGAGGCACACTCTGTGACCACAGGGGGCCAGGCTCAGTTTCCTCATGTGTGAGTCCTGCTGCCTGAGGGAGTAAAGGAGCCTAATTCCGGGTGCAGTATTAGGAGGTCTGCTGCTGGGGAACCTAAGGTATGTCCTCCAATAAGAACACGAACACTTAGGTGTTTATCAAGCTGATTCCTGTGCATATTTCACAAGATGGGAAAAGCGGTGTTGTATATGGACACATACACAACACTCCCAACCTTGCACCTCCGGCAGCCTATATGGTCTTACCCAGCCAGGCACCTTGGGCCCTGACATACCACGTGGGACATATGGTTTGTACATGCACCAAGCACAATCACGCTCTCTCCTGGGTCTGTCCTGTCCTCAGCCTGGATGCCTTCCCACCCACATGGAACTGTGACCCTCTCTCTCTGACTTTCAAGCCCCCAGCATCCACCTGCACCTCCATGCCCACTGAAGTGCCCTTGGCACTCTAAACAATCACTGATTAAGACACTCTTATGGGGTCTAATTCTCATCTATCTCAGGAGTGTGTGTGGTGGGTGCGTGGTGGAGGAGACCTTGTTTCTTACACTCTGCAGCCTCTGGTGCCTGTAGGGTGCCTGCTGTATGACAGGAGGTTCATGTGAGCATGCTGAACTGAGCAGGGATGGGAGATGGACACAGCACTTGTCTTCCCCCATTGCTGGCTCTTCATGTCTATTTAACCTTCGGTGGGTGGGATTTACCTCCATCTTCCTTCACACTGCTCCCTTTCTCTCTCTCTCAACTCAGAGCAGTTGGTATTTACATATTATTACAAAGGGCACACAAGGTTATATCTCTAAATGCACAGCCACACAGGCCAGCAGAGAGATGCCCCAGTGGACCCAGAGATGAACATCCACATGAGCACAAGGCAGGCCCGTGTTCCCCCCACCCGAGCACAGGGCAGACCCACTTTCCCCTGACCAGAGCACAGGGCAGGCCCGTGTTCCCCACACCTGAGCGCAGGGCAGGCCCGTGTTCCCCACACCTGAGCGCAGGGCAGGCCCGTGTTCCCCCCACCCGAGCACAGGGCAGACCCACTTTCCCCTGACCAGAGCACAGGGCAGGCCCGTGTTCCCCACACCTGAGCGCAGGGCAGGCCCGTGTTCCCCACACCTGAGCGCAGGGCAGGCCCGTGTTCCCCCGACCTGAGCGCAGGGCAGGCCCGTGTTCCCCCCACCTGAGCGCAGGGCAGGCCCGTGTTCCCCCCACCTGAGCGCAGGGCAGGCCCGTGTTCCCCGCACCTGAGCGCAGGGCAGGCCCGTGTTCCCCCCACCTGAGCGCAGGGCAGGCCCGTGTTCCCCGCACCTGAGCGCAGGGCCGGCCCGTGTTCCCCCGACCTGAACGCAGTGCAGACCCGTGTTCCCGGCACCTGAGCGCAGGGCAGGCCCGTGTTCCCCGCACCTGAGCGCAGGGCAGGCCCGTGTTCCCCCCACCTGAACACAGGGCAGGCCTGCGCCCCCTCCACCTGAGCACAGGGCCCTGGGTTCCCTCCACCTGAGCACAGGGCAGGTCTGCATTCCCTCTGCTCTGCAGGAAGCTGAGTTCTGCAGAAGGGACTTCACTAAGGTCCCTCTTAAAGGAGATGGGCAAAGAGCCTGGCTCATGATTCCTGGTCTCAGCCTAACCCTGGACACTGATTTTCCATCTGGGGCCACAGAGGTCTGGAATAGGGGACTTAGGATGTGGGGTGGGAATGCATTTGACACTCACTCCATAATGTTGACTCTGGCTCCTTCCCAATCTCTTTGGCCCAGTACCAGACAAGAATTGGCTCCTCTACCTCATCACCTCATTTTCTCTGTCTCTCTCTTTTTTTTTTGGATACAGAGTCTCACTCTGTCACCAACACTGGAGTGTAGTGGCACGATCACAGCTCACTGCAGCCTCTAACTCCTGGGCTCAAGCAATCTTCCCACCTCAGGCTCCCAAGAAGCTGGGACTACAGGTGTGCACTACCACACCTGGCTAGTATTTTGTAGAAATGGAATCTTGCTATGTTTACAAGGCTGGTCTTAAACTCCTGGCCTCATGTGATCCTCCTGCCTCAGCCTCCCAAAGTGCTGGGGTTACAGACATGAGTGACCATGCCTGGCTTATCTCTCTACTCTTAAGGTTGAACAGTTAAGCTGGGTTAAATGTCCTCTCTTAAAGTCTGACCACACAATGAAATCAGGAGGAGGTAGGCCCTTACTGGGCTATTATTCTCAACCTTGGCTGTACGTTGGAATCACCTGGCAGCTTTTAAAAATCCTGACACCTCGATATTCTGATTATATGGTTTAGATGTAGCCTGGCCTTCAGGATTTATAAAAGCTCCTTAGATCATTCTAATATATAGCCAAGGTTGAGAACCATTGACCTAAGGACATTCTCCATGTCATGATTTGCCAGAGTTCTGTATTAGGGGTTTTCAGTTTCTTCCTCAGCGATTGATGCAAAATATCCTATTTTGCTGTTGTCTGGGTTTGTTAGTTTCCCTTATCAAAAGCTCCAGAGAGAAGAGGGATGAGTGGTAAGTTTAGGCATCCAAATCTGATGCCAAACAGTTACCCTTGGTGTTCTGTAAAAATCTCTAAATGAACACTTAGGTATCAGGAGAAATCAATGTCCTGAAAGTTCCAGAACTATGCACAGCACTACATCCTTGCAGCAGTACAGTGAAATCATGATGTCATCCTTTAGACAGTCTGTGACCAACTGATGCACAGCAGGCGCCTAATTTTGAAGGGTCGGGAAATGCCAGGAGTCTTATCCAGGTGGTACTTACTTCTGGGGATCTTGCTGGGGTAAATCTTCTGGCATGGTTTATATTCATCCGGAGGAGGAAAGTCTTCCACAGAATGGAACGTGAATTTAGACTCAAAGTCATCTGCACACATGTGAAATGGAAAGAGTTACTCAGGTTACTGTCACGACCCAAGCTTTGATCATTTCCAGGAGCACAGAGATTACTCTGACTGCATCCACCATTTTCTGTTTGCCTGCTCAGTGCAAGGATTTTAACGATAGGGCCATTCTCCCTAAGACATCTATTCACCTCTCAAGTTTTACTGGTTGGTTGGGATGGAGGGAAGCAGGAAGAGGGAAATCCAGTCACTCCCTGTCACCCACCCGAACATACTCCAACCAATAACACCTTAAGGAGGCTGCTAAAGGGGTGGAAGTGGCACGGAGCTCTCCAGGGTCCAGAATCAGAGGTGGGGACCCTGGTGCCAACAAGGAACTGGCAAAGCCCCAGCAGTCACCTGAGAAGCTCCTGGGAGGGTTTCGAGGGGAGGGAGAAATGGGCAGAATGACTGGGGAATGGAGGAGCATGGCCTGTGTCTAGGGTGGGACCTGAGCTCCACAAAGCAAACAGCTTCTGCTCTGAGATCTGTTGGCAGGAGGGGAGGGCTCCTGTGACCCTTTCATGGGCTGAGCCCCTGCTTTGTGATCTGGGCCTCTGTTGGACACTAGCCCAGCACACAGAAGGGATCCAAAGATTCCATGGCCGTGATCACATCTGACCCCAGGTGACTTTCCTTCCTACCTCCATACTTGTACTCGAAATGTCCCTCTGCCTGGTGGGCCTTCTATGTATTCTTTCTCTTTATCCATATCATTCTACTCTTTCAGGCTTATGCACTGATATCTCCATAGACACACAGACATACACATACACACACACAGTTTAAATGTTGCTTCTCTTCCCTTTCTCTAATCTGAATTAGAAGGCTAGAGAGTGAGCCTTGAAACTATGCAGAAAGCCTTGAAAGGAACCCTATTTAACAGAACCTGTGGGCTGGCTGGTGCTGGAGGGAGCCCGTGTTCATGAAAGCAGCATGTACCCTGAGATGGCAGCACTGTGGCCAGCAAACTCTCTCTCCAGAGGTTGGGAGAATCACATTCCTACTGGCAGCCAAACCAGCAGAGGGTGCACCCCACTTACCGATGATGTGCAGGCTTCCATTTCGCAGCTGACCTCCAGGCTGCTGCGTCGGGGTCCAGGCTGTGACCTGCTGGCTCTTGCTTGAAAGCTCTGTGGTGGGTGATCTTGCAGGGGGTGCTGGAGGTGGATTTAGCTTTCCCCCACCGGCCCCTTACAGAGAAGATGATGGTGTATTCAGACACACGGATGGGAACGGTGGACGCTATAACTTTATGTGAGATGTTAGGCATTTCCATCTTCAGATGTAATGTGATGTAGTGAGTAAAAGGGCAACCTCTGGAGCCAACCTGTTTGGCACCGAATTGCAGTTCTCCCATTGGGATAAGTAACATAGCCTCTTTGTGTTTTAGTTTCCTCATCTGTAAGATGGGAGTGGTAATAGTACACCCACTTCCCAGGGTTATTGAGAAGATTCAATGAGTCGAATTTAAGTTGAGTGGCATGTAGTAAGTCGTCAATAAATGTTAGCTGCTGCAATAATATTAATGATGGTGATAACCTTCATCATCAGGTACAGCCCAAAGCAGGGAAATCACTGGAGAGTGGTAAGAACAGGAAGGGCTCACTGTAGAAGAGGCCCAGAGGGAGGCTTGAAGAGGGAGTGGTCAGGGGCTTGTTTTGCCCCTGTGTCCCTGCTTGCACTGGTTCTCCAGCACTGCAAATGCTCGTTTCTCCTTCCGGTCCACCTAAATCTTACGTGCCCACCAGGGCCTAACTTGAATCCAACCTACTTCCTCCAGCCTTCTCTGATCATGCCTGAGAAAGGCTCACTATCTCCTTTGCCAATACTTTCCTGTATGGTTCATCTGGCAACAAAAAAATCTGCTATCCTGGCACATCAATGCAGGGGGTCCACTCCTGCTTATTTCTTCAGTGGCACTGCACACATCACTTTGCTTCTTGAAATGATGACAATAACATTATTACTATCTGTGCTAATATGTTCACAATTACTACCTCTCTCTTTTCCCCCCAAGTTGGGCTAAAGTAGAAATTGCCTTTATTTTGAACATGGACCAACCAAGTTTCACATCCAAAGATGCAAAGAAGAAGGCCAGATATGTATCTCCATCCTGGCCTGGGGCTCACTACTCTGGAGCAGATGAAGGGGCCCCAGCTGCAGCAGGCATTCTCAGTCACCAGCCGCCATCCTCGTGTCTCATGTCCCTTCATCTGCCCGTCTTCCTTTCTCCCTCCCAACTGCCTTCCTTTCCCTTTCTGGTCTTCCCTTTCTGGGCACAAGGATCTATGAGGAATTTACTTGCTCCCACATGCAGGATAAAAGGACTACAGCCCCTCTTGTGGGTGAACAGCTGCCCCACTGTGTGGTAAGGAAATAATGCTGCTGGAGCTGAAGTTACATGCAAGCCCTTTATGCAAATATCTCATTTCATATTCTTAATAATCCTATGTGAAAGGTGTTATTAGTAGGCCCATTTGTCAAATAAAAAAAATTCAGTATTAAAAAAAACAAACCCAAGTGGTGAGTTTCCACAGGAGTGGGTGGGGAACCCAGGATTCGAACTCATAGCCCTCTGAATCAAAAGCCTTGTTTTTGTTGGCCAGGCGCAGTGGCTCACACGTAATCCCAGCACCTTGGGAGGCCGAGGTGGGCTGATCGCTTGAAGTCAGGAGTTCAAGACCAGCCTGGCCAACATGGTGAAACCCTGTCTCTACTAAAAATACAAAAACTAGCCAGGCGTGGTGGTGCATGCCTGTAACCCCAGCTGCTCGGAAGGTTGAGGCATGAGAATCACTTGAACCTGGGAGGTGAAGGTTGCAGTGAGCTGAGATCCTGCCACTGCACTCCAGCCTGGGTGGCAGAGTGAAACTTCCGTCTCAAAAAAAAAAAAAAAAAAAAAAAAAAAGCTTTGTTTTTTTTTCATCACATCATAAACATTTGAAAATAACAAATATCAAAAGGGGCTTACGAGTACAAATGCTGGCCCTCATGGTGACCAGTCAATTGAAAAGAGAATGACTAAAATCTTACCTCTTGTAATCAAGAGGCTTAAAAATATCCTTGCTCTTTGCACCAGGAATTCCCTTTAAGAAACCAATACTTTTAGAAAAATATCAAAAATGTGGACTAAAATTTCTACGAAAGTATTTCTTGCAATATTATGCATAATAACAAAAAATGGAATCAACTTAGATATCTAACATGAGGAATATGGAATATACTGAAGGTCATTCTTCTAAAGACATTTTAACAATTTGATAAAATTGTTTTTAATATAATATTAAATTAAAAACAGAGCACAAAACTGTATGTGAAAGATGGTACTAACCATGTAAACATGTACATATATTCAGAAAAAAGAATTAAAGAAACCTATCCAAATGGCAGTTTTCATCTCTGGGTGATGTTATTATGGGTGATTTAATTACTTAATTTACTTAGAGACAGCAGCATCTGGCTCTGTGATCCAAGTTGGAGTACAATGGCACAGTCAAAGCTCACCACAGCCTTGAACACCTAGATTCAAACCATCCTCCTGCCTTAGCCTCCCAAGTAGCTGGTACTATAGGTGTCTGCCACCATGCCCACCCAATTTTTTATTTTTATTTTCTGTAGAGATGGGGTTTCGCTATGTTACCCAGGCTGGCCTATAACTCCTGACCTCAAGCCATCTTCATGCATGGGCCTCCCAAAGCAGTGGGATTAGGGGTGCGAGCCATCCGTACCTGGTCAATTTCAATTTCCTTCTATTTGCTCTGCAACAAGCTTGAATTATTTTTAATTCAAGAAAATACTTTTAAGAAGCTTTCTGCATCGAAAGATTTTCTAAAAGACACAGGACTATGTATGTTGTGGTGTGCATGTGGATGTGTGTGTTATGAGTGTGCATATGTTTGAGTGTGTCTGCGTGCGTGGATGTGGGTGTGCCTGTGGACGTGTGGAGGTACTTCCCATTCACAGGGGCACTAAAACTGAATGAAGCCTCCTACTAGAGGGACCAAGGAAATCAGCCATGGGGCATGCACACTCAATTCAAATAATCTGTGCTGCATATGTGAAGGAAACATTTTTAATATTTGGCTCAAAATACAGGCCCTCAGTTTTCTTGAGTCAGCTGGAGAACCTGCGAAAACTAAGGCAGAGTGGGAATCCAGTTTACTGAGGGCCGGTGAAGATTCTGGAAAACGCCGGCAAATATAAAAGGAGGCCTGGTTCTGGAAACAAGCCGCACTCATGCCCTCTCCACCTCAGGGAGGAGATCTGGAGTTGGAGGATGGTAGTAAGAATAAATAATCCCTCTCAAGCTCACTGTTGCCAGGCCCTGTTCCAAGCACCTCCAACCTAAAAACTCACTTAATGCTTAATAACAAGCCCAGGAGACAGCAACTATTGCTATCTATCCCCATTTCACAGATGACGAGAAGGGAGAACAGAGAGGCCAAGTGGTTGCCCAGGGCCACAGAGCTAGAAGGGCAGGGGATCAAGGCCAGGATCCCTTGGTTACAGGCAGCATGATTTTGGGCAAATCTCCCTGCCTCCCTCACCCCTGGTGTCCATCTCTGAAATGAATACCTCCAACAATAAAGTCCTGTGCAACGACAAGATTTTATTGCGCTCCACCAGGGGCAATGGGCCAGGGAGCGCTCCTTACCTGGTCGGCCGTGCCTCTTCTTCTGCAGGAACGTCTGGGAGCCCGGAGGGGCAGGCGGGGCGGGCAAGGCCTGCGCACTGACCTTCTGCGGTGGGGCCTGGAAGCTGGGGGATTTGGGGGGTAGCGGGGGTGGGGCTTCACTGCTGTTATTAGCTCCTGGCAAAGGGGGCGCGGGCAAAGAAGCCCTCGGGGAGCACGAAGCATAAGTGGGGAGCGGGGGCGGCGGGGGTGGCGGGGCTGGAGGCTCCTGCACATCTTGCGCAGGGCTGGTGGGCTCCGCTTTGAGCCCAGGAT